TATTCAGTACATATAAAGGAAAGAAAATACTCTTCTTTCCAAGAGCCTTCCTAAAATAAATTTTCTGTTATGAATTTTCCCCTTTCTTTGGCACATTGTCTAGCTACCTTCCTGCTGGTAATTATCACTGTTTTCACTGTGTGTTCTCATCACCCGAAGAACAAAAGCTTCAGCTTTAGCAGTGACCACTCTAAACGTGGTGTGTGGTGGTGCAGGGCGGAAGTGCACAAGCAGTGCACAAGGAGACAATGCAGCTGCTCAATCTGGTGTGACTGTGCACTAGAGTTGTATCCATACTCTCCACAGTTTCAGCCTCATCCATGTGACTAGTGTCTACCAATGAAAGCACATAGTCAGTTTTCAAGTAGAATGAAAGAAGGAAGACATTTTTTACGATGAGAGCGGTGAGACACTGGAACGTGTTGCTCAGAGAAGCTCTGGATGCCTGATCATTGGAAGTGGTCAAAGTCAAGTTGGATGGCACTTTGAGCAACCTGATCTAGTGAAAGATGTCCCTGCCTATGGCATTCTAATGCCCTGGGGCATTAGATGTCCTTGACCATGGCATGACCATTCTAAGATTCCATGATAAGTACTACTATGTTTGGCTATTGTTGACACCCAGCCTGAGTGATGAGATGCATTTTTAAAGCTGGATTAATGAGGATCAGCGGTCAGCACAACTTGGGGCTTAGACTTGTGCTTCTGCCCCATTCTGCCAGCACAGCCCGTTTCTGAGCTGAGGAACGCATAAAACCTGCATTAAATGGGTCAAAAATCCAGTTAAAAAGGAAGCCACAGTTTCAATTTAAAATTATTTCTGAACTAAAATGCCCTGGTCCACAAGAGTCTGTGCTGTGCAGTAAGCACCCCATCTATATTTGCTGCATAACAAGGGAAGAAGGCTCTGTCTCTCCCTACTCATCACAATTTCTCTGTCCAACCTGAGTGCTAGTCAAGTCTAGCCATTCCAGCGAAATTAAATTCTGGTAACTCAGTCTTCCTCCACTGACATTTCTGTTGTTTCATTATAAGAAGAATCAGGCAATAAGCAGTCTCCTGTTCAGTGAAATAGAAATGAAGTGATGCTAAATTTTAATATCCAGCTATGTGGTACATCTGGAACACTGACAGCTTGGCTGGTCTCTAAGCAGGTGGAGCAGCGGCATGGCTAAAGGCCAGTCCTGCTTTTTAATTTGTTTTAACTTTATCTGATTTGCTTGTTACTATGGCAGTGAGAAGCAGTATCAAAGGAAGGAGTTAAGCTTTTCCTAGGTATATGGCCTAGATTTGCTGATCCCATACAAGCGTGATTCCTTTCCCAGTATACCTCATCTGGAGACTTGTGCCACCAGAACGAGAACTTGCAGCCAGTTCTGGGATCTGCAGCGTCTGTTTGCAAGACCAATTCTGTGAGTTTTAGACTGTGCAGATTAAAAAGGCTATATAGTTTCAGAAGGCTCAAATAAATGTAAGGTGGTGAAATTAGAGGTAGAACCTTGCAAAATCATAATGCATTTCTGAGACACTGAAGGTAGTTTAGGGACTTGCTTGGAAGTAATGACTTTAGTAAATGGAGAAGTCTCTTAATCTAAACAAGATGAGGTGAATAACCAAAAAGAGGAAGAAAAGGAGATAAATTAGAGTTTAATCTGAAAACAGACATGAAGATGATTATTCACCATATTGGATGTTTGAATGTGAGCCTGAACAGCACAGTTACATTTAACAGAGTGTACTCTTCCACCTTAATCTAATCCAAACTTGACAGTTTCCTCTTGCTTTCATCCATCCACTGGTTTCCTTCTTGATGTTTGGAGCAAATGCTCCGGGACCCCTTATCAGTGCAGTGTCATTAGTGCCACAAGGCTTTTGTGGAGGGTTTTAGCTCACTTCTTGATTTTTCTCCATGAGTCTTTACCTCAACACGTGCATTTTACACTGTAGTTAGGGGGTTTGGGTGGGTTTTTTGGGGGGAGTGTTACATGCTTGTTGCCATTATGATTGATGCTGATAAACCACACATCCGCAGTGGTCTGGAATTGCTTCCAGACAGAGGATCGTGGCTATTTTATTCTTGAGTCCTGGAGCACATCTTGTTTGCCTGTCAGCCTGTGTAGGGGCCAGAACTCCTGGGTAGCTGAGAGTTTTAGTGAAGTTGGCCCTTCCTCATGTGGATATTAGATTTAAATCTCTATCATCTGAGCTGTGCACTTAAATACATGTCCCACCATCCAGTGCTCGTGGTTCTGCTTGAAAGCTGCCAGTAAACACTGGCTGTATGATAATGCAGGATTTCCAGTCATGCATGCTTCCATTTCTCCATCAAACCTGTCAGCAAGGCTCTGTGGTCTTTTCAGAAAATCATGTGATGTCTGCCTCACAAGAAAAAGATGCTGCCTGCAGTCCAAAAAATTAGTTGTTTAAAATATCAACCCTTTGCATAAGCATCCCATCCACAGCAGACAGCAGACAACGTGCGTTGCCAGGCAGATGCTCTGTCTGCGCACCTGGAGCGGCTGGAAGTGTTTGATCAGCTCACATGGTGTGAGGTTCGGATGAAGCAGCCTCAGAAAGGCAGGACTCGGCTCAATTCTCTGCTTTTGCAGAAATAACCTGGGAACCAAAGCCTGGCTTGTGTTGTGGATGATGCGATGACGCGAGCTGGTGGGTCAGGTCAGCCACTGCGGCAAACACCAGGCTGCCAAAAGCGCGCAATGGAAATTCTCTGGTTGAATATCCTGTGAGTGGGTGGCTTGTCTGAAGAAACAAGAAGCAGGCTCCCTTTAGTCTGAGAAAGGAGGGAAGTGGAGAGGGAAAGAGCAGTTCCTAATGACTTGCATGCCCTGTTCAGAAGCTTAATTTAGCGCCTGCGGTTACCTTTATAGTCCATGAAATGACATTTTGACCTCCAAGAAGGTGGGCAATGTCTGCAGCACTTCATGGGCTATGCTTCTAATTTTTGTGTGCATTATATGCAAGGGTTGGCAGAATAATTTGGCTTTTAGTGCAGGACAGATAATTTTGATAACAAATTAGTTGTTTTACAGACCTGCTTCAAGAGTCAGAACTTATTTCAGCTGGGACCAGGATGAGGAAAGGGAAAGGTTACTTGTGGAGGAAAGGATGATTCTAGAAATGCAGAGCAATAATGCGCTCTGTATGTTTGTGAAAATCTTATCCACATGTGTGTGCACCGCCATCAGGTCCTTGACACAGCATCCCTGTGCTCTGCTTGTGTGGAAGCACAAGAGCCCATTCCTACTTGTGAAGATGTGCACTTGCATCAAAGGCAAAGCCCCAGACGGAGGTCACTGCCTACAGGAGCTGGCAGAAGAGAGCTTAGGTGGCTTTGCCGTTTGCTGCCCATCATGTCCATTTGAACACATCCATCTGTTGCTGGCTTCCCCTTGTGCTGCAGCTGGCGTCTCTCACGGCATCATGGGGATATACTCTGCCACCATCCTCTTTTCCCTCCCTAGTTGTCTCTCTGCTTGTGGTCTGGCACAGTTACCTTTTCTTCAGCATCCCCCTCTGAAGCATAGACTACGTGCCAAGGTTTCTTTGCATCTCCGTTAGGCTTCCCTCCTCTGTTGCCTTTCAACTGTTACTGAATTTCTGGCCCCTTTTGTGATCCACCAGTAGCCTCCTTGGTGGCTGGTTGTTTTTCTCTTCGATTTTCTGCATTAGTGAAGGATAAGAGGTAACCACTTTTATCTCAGTGGTGTAGTTCCTGGACTGGCAACTGCCTACCGCAGATGAATATTATAGTAGATAGTATCCCTGTTTAGAGAGTCATGCTCAGCAACATAAAAAGTTGAGGATGTGCTTGGTGACAGATGAGTGGAAACGTACAGAAATGGAAAAAGAAGACATGCAGAACCTAGGTGATGCTCCATACGAGTGCGCTCCTCTTGTTCTTGAATACTGTGCAAGGGACCAGAAGTGAGTTGGCTGGACATGACGGTGTAAAACCGGAAAGCTGCAAAGCAAACAAAATGAATGAAAAAGAACATGAATCAGCCTGGCAGATCAGCTCCCACATGCAAGTCGGGTCAATGAGAAAGAGGCTCGGGGAGTGGTTCTCTTCTGCACCTGCGTATCTTTAATGGGAAAATTGCAAAGAAGCTGAATAAAAAAAAGAAAAGGAGAAGAGAAGTAACCCCACTGCTAGCCAGGTAAAGGCTGTGCTTTAATTTGACACCAGCAAACCAGAGAGATCTAAAATGCTGAGAGCTCTCTGAAAGCATTTTCAGCCTGTAAAAGATATTTTACTAAATTTGTAATCAGAAACCTGAAGAAATAAGAGATCACCTTCCTAAATGCAAAAAAGACTAAGAGCAAGTCATAAAATATTAAAAATGAAAAAGTTCATTCTAGATTAATAAACAGGATGAAAAATGTAAGAGCTGAAATGTGAATGCTCACAGCATCTGCAATAGCTGTGTAAGAGCAGCAGTCGTGTACACTGCTAATAAGTAAGTTCGCATCTAAATGTGATTATAAGTGGAACAGACATGGAGATAATTTACCCTCTAGCATGCAGAAAGCATGAAACTACAATGAAAAATTATCAGCATTTCTGTGAACAGACTTGTGAGTAGGAGGCAAAGGATACAAACAAAGCAAGCAAAGGAAGGACTTCTGGCTGCAATGGAGAAAACAGGACACTGGAAAATGGCCTGAGAGTGAAGTCATATATATACTTGGGCCAGTGCAAATTGATTTGCCAGTATTTTTCTTTATTTTTTCCAGTACCTCTGTGCTGATGAAGCACAGAGTGCCTCAGAGGACAGACTGTTGCAAGACTATGACATTACTGTGAGGCATAATGGAAAAATACAGGTTTTGAAGCTCAGGTTGGTCCCTGATGCAAAGATAAGACAGTGGCACACTGGAATGCGAATGCCACGTAAGGGAATTCATTGGTATTAAAAAGAGAATAAATGGATTTGCTACCAAACAATATAGCACTATTTGAACATTACATACCATAAGCAATGTACAAGGACTTAGAAATTGTCATTGTCTCACTGGTACAAATTGGAGCAGATAATCACTACTTTCAGGTAAACCCTATGAACAGGATGGGCACCTACTGCAGTCATTAAACAGTGGAGGTAACCTATTTGTAGCATTATTATCCTTCCAGCAAAGCTGCCTAATGGTTATCAAAGGCGCGAGGAAAACTGCTTATCAGGAGTGCTAAGCCAGCAGTGTGGTACAACACGGAAAAGTTGGGTTGCAGGTGGACTTTGAGACCTCTAGCTCAAAATTATTACACCTAAGTAGGATTTAAGGAAGGTTTGTATGTAAGATAGGTAAAATGCTCTTATTTCCCATGACTGACAAGCTACAATCTGCTCAGACCTACAAACAAGATAACCTGTTGAGATCAAATTATTTTTTCAGGATCAACCATGCAGCAGGGAGCAAGCTACACCTGTTGAAAAGTTGGACTAGATGATCGTTGAGTCCCTTCCAACTGAACTATTCTATTCTATTCTATTCTATTCTATTCTATTCTATTCTATTCTATTCTATTCTATTCTATTCTATTCTATTCTATTCTATTCTATTCTATTCTATTCTATTCTATTCTATTCTATTCTATTCTATTCTATTCTATTCTATTCTATTCTATTCTATTCTATTCTATTCTATTCTATTCTATTCTATTCTAAGTAGTATAGCTGTGGATGTGCATGTGTTTTACCAAAACTGCAATTCCACTTCCTACATGACATGAGCATAAAAGTGTAAGGTGGTGAAGAGTCCTGGCGGTGGGAAGTCCCTCCGCTGAGACATGGCTTACCAAACTCGACAGGAAACAGGCCACTGAACAACTGACAGACGTTGGAATAGGCTTTTATTAAACTAGATTATCAAAAACCCACATAACGAGGTCAGCTGTTAATGCAGAGAAGATTTATACTCAAACATCAGACTACCTGGAAGACATGAACAATATTTGCCTGGTGACAAAAGAAGTATAGAGCATTGAAACCTGGAAGAACATTCCTCCATTTCAAGGAAAATAAGACAAAGACTGAAACATATATGAATTATTATTTTCTATGCTTTAAGGAATTATAAAACAAGGGTTAAATTAGTGTTTGCAGGGTTGTTTAAATTTTACTGTGTCCATGAGAAATGAAATATTGCCAAGTCCTCACAAGGGTTGATGTTTTCCAGAAGAATTATTATAAGGCTGCTACAAATTCCATGTAGGACGCATAATCAAATGTTCTGCTTAACATCATAATTGCACCAAGCACTGCGGTGCGATGTTATAGTGGTGCACTGTGCTGCAATGTTATAGAAAGTGTGACTTCCCCCGGGCACCTTCTGACTGAGCGAACAAAGATCCCGAGGTGCAGAGGGCTGGAAGTGGAAGCGAGGTATTTATTATGATGGCAGGCATACTTCTGATGCAGAGTCTGAAATGAGAAAAGGGCAGAAACAAGGAGAGAAGAAATCCGTGAGGGGATTTTGAAAAGGTGGCATCACTGATCTCACAGCACTTGAGGTCCTAGGTTTATCAGTCCTGTTTATAATGGTTGAACATTCAGTATTGCTCAAGGTTGAGTCTAAATTAAAAGAGGTTGCCTCTTGATAAAAGCAGCATTTTTATTATCCCTCAAACAAGGTTTATAGTGAAGGATTTACCCTTTGCCCTTTGTGTTCCTCTGCAAGGAGAAGGAATCTCATGCAGGGCTGTGGTAAGCAACGTAGAGTTATGGGTTAGGTGCAGCTTTGCAAGACCGTGTGAGATAAAATTAGACTCGGCAGCTTCCAAGGATCTGAACCTCTCTGTCCCACTGGTGGGTGCCATGTCAGTTGTGGGAAGGGTTACCTTGTGTTAGGTAACCTAAGGGTTACCTTGTCCTTAGGTAACACAATTCTTGTTGAAGGCTTATACCACCACTGATGGTACTTTTTCAAATTATCTTGGCATTCAGCAAAATATCATTCCCCTACTGATCCTATCTTCCTAATTGCATTTTTGAAAAATGCTTTCCAGTTGAGCATTTGAATGAACCAATTTCTTTTTTTCTTTATTAGTACTCTTAAGAAGACTGCCAGGTTGGCCGATGTAGCTTTGTTCTTCAAGCCATCCATGAATATTTTAGAAGAGCACTAAACTTGCTTGTAGCACACTGATTTTGCAATAAAATGGTTATTAAAATTGTTAACATTCTTGATAATTTATTTTAACTACTTATTCTTTCTAGCAGGACCTTAAGAGGATAAAGAGGGGAAAATATGAAACAGAAAATAGCAAGTCAAAATTAATCAAATCATTTTCCTGACAAGTTTACAGTAACAAACTGTTACTACACAATGCTTTGTCTTAGTAGTCGCGCTGAAGAATTCCTCTGCACGCAGAGCATGGTTCAGCTTCTCCTTATTAGATCATCTTTATGAGACGTCCACATTATTTAGTCTCTGGGGAGCTCTTGGTATTTGCAAAATTACTTTGAATACGTTAAATATGAATACTTTGAATTAAGCTGTTTTAAAATAGTCCTTTAAGGAACTGCTGCAAGATCAGCCATTAAAGAGAAAATAGGGGTTAAACCATAACTGTTCCACCTCCTCCTGGGCTCCTACCTGCCTTCACTCCCAGTGGTTCTTGGCCTCCGTTTTCCATTCAGCCTGAAGTGAAGCTGAGATATGCCGAGCCCATGGTGCGGCTGTGCTGTGGATGGAGTGAGGTGTGGGTGATGTATTCTCCTGTCCAGTGCAGCTGGGCTTTAACTTCCAGCAGAGTCGGATTCTTGCTAAGAAAAAAAACATTTCTGGAGAAAACAGAACAAATACTTGTTTCACTTCCCCCTTGCTGCTGTATTATTGAGAGATAACTTTGCGTTTTGGCTACCTATATATCCCTGTTCCTATAGAAGCAAATGTAGGCCACCACTAAAAGATCCCCCACAGAAAATCGTGCTGGATCATTCTGCTTCAAGTTCAAGATATTTACTGGTGGTTAGCAACAGAGCCAGCTGACGCCCTGCCAAAGTTACCCATCAGATAACCCAGCAGAGCTTTAACAGGGCAATTATTTCACGTCTTTGCAGGAAGAAAGGAATGCAACTGTCTAGCAGAAGTTCTTAGCAAGCTTTCTTTCATTTTTTATGCTGAGATTACAGAGAACAGTGGTGTATGATGCTTCAGAAATCTTTTCTTGTTCCTTTCCTTCCTCAGTCTCTGCTTAAAGGCTTGGCTTTAAGTGGTTTCTTGTTTCTTTCCTTCCTAAGTCTGTCCCTGGAGGCTAGGCTTTCAGTGGAGGTAGTATTGAGGGAAAAGGCTACGAGTTTTTGAACAGTTTTTCTGAGGTTTCAGGGATAACAAATTTGTCCATACTGGTTCTTCAGTGTTTCCTGGGGGATACTTTCTTTCGAAAGCTATCCCAGGTGTGTTATAATCATTGCTGTGGATTTTTACTGCAGATGATGCAGTGGTCCAACATGTTTAACAATTTATAGCAATTAAGATTTAATTTCAAGTCAATAAAAGGTGTGGTTTTCTGTCCATGTGGTAAGGTTACACTTGTATTTGATACATTTTTATAAGCAATTTATTGACTGTATTTTATATACAATTTTGATTGTCCTTTTTTTTAGCAACAAAATTGTGTTACAAAAAAGCACAAATGAGCCTTTCTGTGGAGCACATGACTAGATTTGTGTTAATTTAAACTTCAAGTGTGATTTTTTTTAAAACCGACCCTCTCAAACTTTTTATTTACGCTGGTGTGACTTATTTCAATTTAGCTTAAATCAGCAAGCAGTTAAATCCAAAGAAGAGTATGCACAGAGAGGGCTGTATAGACCTAAGTGAGCAAATTTTAGTCAACTCCGTTATATTGAGTCAAGGCTCCTTTTTGCTTACAAAATTCTTTAAAATGACTTTGAGTCACTTCCCTACATAAAATCTTGTAACTCGAGTGATGTATTAAATTAAAACGAAATCAAAGGTTAACACGTGAGAGCAGTCATCTGCCGCAGCGACGTACATCTTGAGGAGTGAAGGGTTTACAAACAGATTTCTCTCAGGGAAGAAAAGCAATTGACACCCAATTAGTGTTAAAGCATATTCCTAAAGCTCAATGACTTGAGAGCAAATTACAGTTGTCATTGTGGATTTGTGAAGTGTGCTGAACCATGATGCATTCCTTCAGAGGGAAGTTGCTCAGACATGAAAATATAAAACTAGCACAGCAAGTACAAGTTCTCCATGTTTCTGTAATATCTGTGCTTCAATAAAGCAAATTTGTAAAGTAACCGTGAGGTCAATTGGATGCATTTTTATGGATTCCAGCTGCTTGTTAAAAACCTGTTGATGGCTCACCGAGCATTGAACCGAACTGCGGTACATCAGCCCCCCTCCTCCCTGCCATTCGTGGACCCTCTGTGCTGTAGCTGTAAGCTGACATAGAGATGCAGACTGTGCCTGAGCAAAACAGCACAGGGGAAAGGTTTTTGCCACATGAATAGTAAGGTGTGGGCTGGTTGCTCTCTGAGCAGGGCTTTTCCCCCTTGGAGCGGGAGATCAGTGCAGTGTGATGGTGATCAGAGTAACCCTGATCAGCAAGGGAAGTTTTCAAACTTCTTTGCTTTTGCTTTATTTACGTATGCTTCATACAGAGTAGCCCCAAGCCTGGACTTTATTAGCAGCAGGAGGAGGAGAGCAGATGTCATTTACAGATATACATGAGATTGGGAAATAAACTCATTGCTTATTGGACTCATTTAAGGAAAGCTCGTATTTGAACATGAATGAAGAAGTTGTATGTCAGAAAAGGCATTCATTACCTACTCACAGCCTCCCTAAGCTGCCGATCTGGAATGCTTTAGCAATACGCAGAATCCTTTATAGCAATGCCCCTGCTGCACACTTGGGCCCGGCATCCTATCTGTGTGCACAGCGCCTGGCTGCGTGGGACCAGCTCGC